AAAAAAAAACCACAAAAAAAAAAAAAAAAAAAAAAAAGAAAGAAAGAAAGAAAAAAGACTAAGCGCTCTTACCGTAATCCAGCAGTTACGTTTCCTGGTACTTGTTCAGTGCAGTTGAGTTGTAGTCTGCAGGAAAACCTACACATGGGTGTTTACGGCAACTTTATTCGTAACTGTCACAACTTGGCAGCACCAAGATGTCCTTTGGTAGGGGGAAGGGATAGGATAAACCGCTACTTCCAGAGAATGGAAGATTACTCAGGAATAGGAAGAGACACTATCAAGTCAGGAGATCATGGAAGCAATTTACATAGGTATACTGTGGGAGTCCAATCTGAAACCGCAATACCGTATGACTGCAGCTGACTGCCAGAGACTGGAGCAGGGAGGGAGGGGGGAGCACTGAGGATTCAGAGCAGTGAACATTGTACTGGTGACCCGTACTGGGGAGGACATATCATTCTGCACTCGTCCAAGCCCACAGTGTTTACCCTACTGTAACTATGGGCTCCCGGTGAGGATGTGTCAATGCAGGTCCATTAGCTGCTGCAAAGGTACCCCAGGGTGGGAAAGCTGTGGGGGGAGGGACACGTGAGAATTTCTGTACCTCCTGCTCAACTAACTCTGCTGTGAACCTAAACCTGTTAATAAAAGGCATACGCACACGGGATGTTTACTGCAGGAGTCAGACAGCCTGAGTCCGAGGCACGTGTGTAACAAGACAAGCATCTAGGGTTAAAGGTCATTTCTGAAGCCAGTTTAAGGAAGACCTAAGTGATCTCAAGAGCCCTGGCTGAGCTACTGATAAACCAAAAGGGGTCAAAAGAATAAAAGGCATCATGACAAATATCTGTTAGTATTTTCAAGATAAAATATTTTTCAAGTTCTATGGTTTAGCCGTGACACCTAAAATCTATGAATTTCACTTTACCTGTGTGAATGCCAAGCCAAGGTCAGAATGGGAAGCAAACAGGCCCCAACCACCGACACTTCTATGCGGGTCCTGGTCAGGCTGCCTGAGCCTGGTCCCAGGGCCGCTGCGCACCCACCCTCTCCTCATCCTGGCAGAACAGAATGAGGAATGGACTGCACCGCCTTATATAGCTACTAAAGTGAAATTAATCCCCAAATTGATGAGCACACAAGAACTCATTTATAATTGCTTATTTCTACTTCACAACATTCCTTCCAGTATTTCTGTTCTCAAAATTCCATTAACATTGCATTATTTTAAAATAATCTTTAGAATTAGTGTCGATGAGAAATATGTCCTCATATTCACTTAAGTAAATCTGACCATCCCCACACACTGGCTGAGCTCCACCTCCCAGTGGAGTAGACGGGGCTGGGGCTGTCTAGTCCCAGGCTCACTGCCAGGGCGGCCTGGCCTCCGAGAGGCTGGGGCTTGGGATCATGGGCCAGGACAGACAGCTCCTGGGAGGAACCAAAGCCATTTTTTAGGAGCTGAAACAGGAGGAAAAAGACGCATTCACTTTACATTAACCAGAAAACGAAACAAGGTTAAAATGAAGTTTATTTTTTTGATTTTTCAATTTTTTTTTGTTTTTTGTTTTTTGTTTTGTTTTTGTTTTTGTTTTTTTTTTTAAATAAAACTGTTTGTGAAACAGCTATTTTATCCCCATGGCAGAGTGACCCCTGAAAGATGCACTAACCCCTTCTTAAGGCCTTAACAAGTTTTTTTTGTACTTTTTTTCTTTTTTTAAAACTCAGATATTTAAAAATCATACAGTTTACAAAACAAAACAAAACAACATAAAGACTCACAGAGCATGGGGCTGTTATCTGACAGGCCCCCTTCTCCTCTATAAAAATGAAAGCACAAAGAAAAAAGGGTGATGAGGGCATCCCTGGTCATCTTAACCCACTCTGTCGCTCACGGGCAGTCACTCCTGGTCACAGCCTGTAGCACACTGCCTGCTCCTGAAGCCAAAGTCTGGCCCTCTCTCATCCCCTGGGATCCCATGGGCCAGGGCACAGCTGCCTGGAATGTGCCAAGGACAGAGAGCCTAGAGGCGGATCCTGCCTCGGCTGTGCCGTGTGAGGCCACCATGAATACCTGGTGGGCCCATGGGATCATCAGTCACAGTGACCCAGGACACTGCTACAACCTCAAGGCATCTGCCATTCTCACCCCCAAAAAAGATAAAAATTTAAAAAATAATAAATAAATAGTGTTTCTGGAAATGAAAAATTTATTTCTGTGTTTAAACATCATTCCCCCACTTGAAAACATGGACCTTCCCCACTTCCCTCCCCTCTTTAAAACCTTCCCACTTGGAGACAACTTAATGACGCAGGAGGGTTTGGTGTATTCGTCTGCTTTCACTCCTGGGCCTAGTGTTCTCTGACTCGGTGTGAGACAGGCTGAAGATCACAGCCACGTCCTGTCCTGCGTGAGATGAGAGCGCATT